CACCTAATTCAGCAGCCTGAGCGGCGCGGTGATCTTGCTCGGCAGCGTGCCAGAGATGCGCGTCTTCTTGGCGGAGATTTCCTGCGCGGCGGGAGGGGGGAGAGACGCGCTGGCCTAGCGTCTGGGCTGCGGCGTGGCGTTGTGGAGAGCATGTGGAGCAAGGAGGAGCGGCGGCGGAGATCCGAGCGCGGGATGGTTTGCGGCCGAGCCGAGGGCGGCGGAGCCGAGTGCAGCGGTGCCGAGGGCGGCGGAGCCGAGTGCGGCGGTGAGGAGCGGCGGCGCCTCGAGTGTGGACAAGAGGAAGCACTCGGGCGGCAGCGTTCCTACGCGGGACACGGCCCCGGACCACTCGTCACCTGGGCCGCCCGCCGAGCCCGGACCTCCCGCCGGCGCCGCGCGCGCCCGAGAGCTTCACGTTGTCGTCGAGAACCAGTTTCCTGAGCGAGCCGTCCGACCTGTGGCACAGCTCGCCCGGGACCGTCCCCGAGAGGCGCTTGGAGAGGAGCGTCACCTTCTCCAGCGCGGGAAGCCGGCCGAGCTGGTGCGGAATGGTGCCGCTGAACTTGCCGGTGGTGAGACTCAGCTTTTGGAGCGCGGTGAGCTGGGTCAGCTGCGCGGGCAGCGTGCCCGAGAAGGAGCGGTCCCCCTCCTTGCCCAAGTCGAGGGACTCGAGCGTGCCGGCGAGCGGTAGCAGCAGGGCGCCGGGCAGCGTGCCGCTACTGCCAAACTCGGTGCCGCCCCGGAATTTGATCTTGGTCAGGGTGGCGCCCGCTTTCCACCCTTCTTTTTGGCCGAGGGGCGGGCTGGGTGAGCCATCCGGCTGCGTGCATCTCACCTGCGCGCGAAGGGCCTGGTGAGGGCAGGGGAGCGGCCTGCGGCGAGGATGAGAGCGCACGTCGAGAAAGGCGCAGCAGGTCGAGCTCGTGTCCTTGAAGGACGGCGATTTGTCTTTCGCGCCGATGGCATCGTAGAAGCCGCGGAGCGCCTTGCAAGCCTCGGGCGGGGAGGCGACGAGCGCACAAAGGAGGGAGGAGAAAACGACCATTTGGGCAGTTACCGTGATGACCAAACAGTCGCTGTTCACTTAACGCACAACCCCGGGCGCTGTTCACATAAACGCACAGAGCTGTTCACATAGAACACCCCGGGCCCGAAATCTCGCACAGAGACAGTCACTGTTCACAGAGCTAATTTGGGAAGCAAGGTGCTGCGAGATTGGCTTCTTAAAGAATTCTTTTTCGTGTACCTGTGTTAATGCCAGTGCGTGCGCCGCCCGCGCAAGGTTGAGAGAGATTTTTGTTCAAGGTTGTGCAAGGTAAACTTTGGTTCGCTGGTAAAATTCTTTTCTGGGCGCTTGGCGGCTCCCGTGGTGTACCTGTGTTAGTGCGCCAGTGCGCGCCAGTCCCTCCCGTGCCGAGGGGGATTTTGAAATTATTTTCTGGGGGGAGCATGGTTCCCCCCTAAAAATCTATGTGGTTGGCATGGTGGTTGGGCTGCGCCTCCTCCTCGTCGACACAGAAAAGAATTTTGAAGGTGGTATCCGATAAAAAGAATTCAACGAAAAGAACTCTCTCTTTTAGCAAGAAACACTCGATAAAAAGAATTTTAGCAAGAAACACTAACAACACTAGGTACGGCGCGCACTGGCGCGCACTGGCACCAACACAAGAATTCAACAAGGAGAACACTGATAAAAAGAATTCAGAGCGCCGCTCGCACGACCCAGATAAAAGGAGCAAGAGCGGACCTGTCGCGAACCAGCTGCTGCCCAATAAGATCGAGGCGTGGGCGCCGAGGCGCGGTGAGAAGCCCGCGCAGTGGGGGTTAAGAACGGCAATGCACTTGGCTCCGTGCACCGCTCTCCCCGCACGCTAGCTCGTTCACCGTCTGCCACGCCACAGCGGTGTGGAGAGACAGCCGCTGCATCTGCAGCCCGTGCCAGTTCTTGGTGGTCCAAGTGACCTCGTCGCGTCCAGGTGCTGAGCGTGCGAGAGTTTGTTGCTCAGCTGCTTCGCCGCCTGCCGAAGTGGCGAAGAAGAGCGCGGACGCCCTCCCCGAAGTTTCGAACGCCTCGAAGTCAAGCAAGAAACGAGGTCGCAATTCTAGTGGCCGTGGCGGCCGCGGGGCCCGTGTGCCGGCCCGGCTGGACCGAGAGGCGGGTAGCAGGAGATAGACACATTAGAACAGGTGGCATACTCGGCGGTCGGAACGTCCCTTTCGCATGCCGCTCTGCTTGAGGCGCTCAGGCGGAGCGACGCCGGTCGGGCGGCGATGGCTCGGCTGCCGGAATCCTTGCAGCATGATCTGGGCACCGCGCCGAACCACTTGACTCTCACCCCCGATAAAGCAAAAGGGACGAAACCACGGGACGAACTTCCACACAGAATTTCACTAGCAAGCTCGCTCGCACAGCACTGCGCACGGGACTGTGCTGCATTCCATGAAGGTAATCCTCGTCGACCAGTATGTATGTTCGAAGGTGAAATCCAGTCGCCCTCACTCCCAAGGACCCGAACCCGGCTCAATCACCATATGGCAAAATTTGTGAGCACATCGGCAAGCGAGTCACGCGCCGCTTCGAAGGTGTTAATGTCGGAGGCGTCGTGATCGCGTGGGCCCCGGCCGACGGCCAAGATGAGGCGCGCTACCGCGTGCATCACGACGACGGTGATGAAGAGGACCTCGATCGGCAGGAGCTGGAGGACGCCTTGGCGCTGGCCGCCAATACTCCGTTGGAACTCAAGGGCCGATTCCTCGCCGTGCCAACCTCATTCTTCCAGGTCGAGGCGGGGTTCTACCTGGCGCGATGCACTAGCGTCAGCGCCGGCGGCTGCGTGTGGCTGAGGTACGTCTCGGACAACTACTCGCACTGGGTGCCGCACGCGATCGCGAGCAAGTGGCTCATCAGCGACAGCGAGGCGCGCCGAGGCGACTGGGTTGGCTCTGGCGGCGTCCCCGCCCAGGCTGAGGATGTGGGGGAGGCGGATGAGGCGGGCGAGGCGGGCGAGGAGGGCGACGGTGAGGAGCAGGACGTCGCTTCTGCCGCCGCCCGCCGAGACCTCGCGCAGCGCAGCAGCGGGCGGCGCCGCTCGGTGCCCGCTCGCTTCGTGGCGGAGCCCTCTTTGCAGGGCGACGAGTCGCAGCTCTAGTTCGTCGAGAAGCTGCTGCTGCCGGCCGCGCAGGAGGCGGTGCCACAGCAGCATGCGGTGGCGCCGCCGCCAGAGGCTGCCATGAAGTTTGGAGTCGGAGATGCGGTGCTGGGCAAGTTTGGCCCCGACGACGAGGGCAAGACGGGCGGCGTGCTCGACAAGACTGTGGCAGCCTCCTCGACGCCGCGGAGATTGAGATGCACTGGAAAAAATAGTATACGGCTTTCTATATGGCAAATGCAGGTACCAGAATCCCAACCAAAGCCCACAAGGCAAAGCGCAAAGGGCGCAAACCGCAAAGCCAAAACGAGGAGCAAAGACCAAAAGGTGTAGAGCTAGAAGGGGGTGGACAGGAAAAAGAAAAGCAACATTCCTGGCCGAGCGAGCCGGGCCGGGGCCCCTGGTTTGCCTTCGCTGCGCGCACTGCTCGGGGAAGGGGGCGGGGGCCGGGTACTCGAATCTGCAAGTAAACTTACGGCTTGTAATGAACCCTAAACAAAAGAACTCTCTCTGACAGCACACAGGCTCGACACAGGTGCGAACTGGCGCGTGCTAGTACTATCACTTGTAATGAACTTGTAATGAACTGATTGCCGATCGAGGCCCCAGCCGAGAGGAAGCGTGGGCCCGCTTCCTCGTGCTTGCGTCCTGTGGTGGCAGCGAATGAAGACGGACAAACAACCAACGGCCGCTCTTGGGCAGCTTTACGACCCCTCCGCGCCGCTGCCGCCGATCTGCCACTGGTTCCGGAAACGGCTGACATGGTCACTCGTGTTCACGCTTGTGTTGCCAGTCCTGTGTTCGCTCACCACCGGCTTCGAGGAGGGTCCAAAGATGAGGAGCATCGTGGGCAGCGGTGATGCGCACGACGATGCGCACGGTGATGCGCACGGCGAGGCGCACGGCGAGGCGCACGGCGATGTCGAGGCGCACCATCGGCGAGCGATGTCGAGTCATGGGCACCCCGAGGTGCCTCACTGGAAGGATGCGCACGCACAGCTGGGGATCGTCGCTTTCCTTGTGCTGCTGACCCTGCTCTTCGAGTTTGGTCAGGAAATTATCGAGGAGAAATACGCCAAGTACCGTTCCGTCCTGGAGCACGTGTGGGGGGAGTTGACCGTGCTTGGCTTCCTGGCGCTGATCACGTTCATGATGGTCCAGTCCGAGGTGCTGCAGGCGGTCTCCGAGCTGGTATTCGGGGACGAGATGCACATGGTCCACATGTTCGAAAAGATCCACTTTGCGCTTTTCTTCGTTCTCGTCTTCTTCCTCGCCCTCGCCCTCTGGCTTCTCGTTTGCATCGCCAAGCGTGAGGCCATCATCGACCAGTACGAGACCCGCATAATCGCGTACGGTCGACTGCGCGCAGGGCAGGGGCGGGTGGACGACCTTGGATACGCGGACTGCCATGAGGAGGTGGCCCTCGCAAAGGCGGCAAAAGTGAGCGGCGGCCCCTGCGCGAGCCGGCCAAAGTGGTTGCTGCAGGACTGCGAAGACCAGGCCCTCTTCCAGATGCTTCGGCACCGCTTCGTTCAGGGCAAGCTGCCCTCCAACTTTCAGTTCTCCAACTACCAGTCGCTCTGCGCCAAGGAGTTTCTTGAGCATGCGCTACATCTGACGCCAAAGACGTGGGGATACTCCCTCCTGCTCATGGCGGTGCTCATCGAGGGCGGCTCCCTCCTCCACGGGGTCGAGCTGGGCGGCGCCCCAGTCGGCGTTTGGCTCCTCATCCTGCTCGGCTGGCTCGTCCTCGCCGGGGCTTTTGCCGTCAACGACCACTACCACGAGGTTTCCCTCCCCCCCCCCCCCGA